TCACTGGAGGCGGTACGTGATTGGCTCCATAGTGTTCTCCGGGACATGCACGAAAATGCTTATGGCCGTCAGGTCTTCGGCCTCGCTTCTTTTGCCGCGTGCAGTTTTTTTCGGGGCCGACACAAATTGAAATGACGATTTTGTCAAGTCATCCTTGACTTTTCTTTCCCCCCTTCTCTTTCTGGAGTGCGTATCCGGTCATGTTCGCCAACACATAACCCCACAACGGACACAGGATTCTGCCAGACTTCCCGTAAACTTTTCACTCTTACCGCGGCGTGATCTGACTCGCTAGGCACAGAAGCTACTTGGCCTTTTCCCTGTTTGTTTCGTCCCTTTTTTTTTTTTTTTTGTCAATGTATATATTTTTTCTCCCCGGCCCTTCCCCTTATCCCTTTGTGTGTGGAAGGGACGGAGATGGGACGGACTTTTCAGGTGTCAAATTTTGTGGGGGCAGGAGATACTGAGCACTGCCACTCGGGCGTAGGAACGGCCTCGAGAAAACGGGGTTCGCAGGATCGAAGGTCCAGAGGCGTCTTATTGAGAGCGGAAACGGATGAGGTCCCGAGGGGGACATCGCCATTGGGGTCTGTTCAGTCAGCTTGTTGGAAAGGGACATGTGCAGGTCCCTCGGCGGATGGCTCAGTAAGCACCCTCCAGATATGCCAAACAGTCGGTGGTTGGCGGTTCAGAGTCCCGTTTGCTCTCTTAGCAGCCCCCTTGCAGTCGATGAAGGCGACGTCCCGGGCGTGGGTTTTGAGACCTTGTACTTGAGTTACGAGCGACTCTCTGCACAGGCTTTGGGTGGTTTCCTCTTTGCGAGGGATGGGCGAGTCGTGCTTTGGTGGTCGAGCGAACATTTTTGCGGCGCCGTTCGGGTCCATGGTCGTCTCTCTCGGAGGGCTTATTTCACGACAGCTCGGTCGTCGTTGGYGGCGGTCGCGGCTGTCGGGGCTTTCCTATGCCGTGGTGCCGGGTTGTGGATTGTTGCGTTCACCCTTGCTGATCGTCTTGCGATGATTGGCGCCTGACCGCCGACGGCGGTCCGGTCGGCGGTCGTTTGCTTGGTGTGGAGGCGGAGGTGCCCGTCACCGGCTCTCAGCTTCGGCACCATCGTCCCGTAGGTTCCGGGGAGAGCTGTTGCGACTCTGTTGTGGTGTCGTCTTCGTGTCCGCACTCACAACGGCGCGTTCCGTTTGAGTTGAGGGGGTGTCACGACTTGGTGAGGACGCTCTGCGCTGTTAGCCATCCGAGCGGCGCCATTGAGCGGTGGCGCAGGTGGCCTCGGCAATGCACACGCTGCTTACCGTATGCAAGGGCGGAGACTTGTGGGATGCGTGATGCACCCTCCGACGGCGTCGCGAGGCAGGGCCCGTCATCCGCCCGACTTTTTGGAATGCGCGCTTGTGCCCGTCGTGTCCCCCATCCTGTGGTCTCGGTATGCTGCACACCGTGACGGATCGCGTTGCGTCGTGGTTCCGCTGCGTTTCGAAGGCTACTGTCCTTTGTCTCCTGGATTTCGCCTGCGTCGAGTGCTGTTGGTGGTGCCCGCGGCAACTGGCGGATGTGGACCCAGAGGGGAGAGGGGTTCGTGTTCCTTTTGCGCCCCCGTGCACAGGTGGAGGCTTTCCGTCCGTCCGGGCGTGTTGGAAGCGTGCTGCATTCGTTTCTATCTTCACCCGCATTTCTCGATGGAGAGATGAGGCTTTGCACTTCGCTGTCGGTACGTTTTGGGCGGGCGGTGGCATCCGGCTGTGGGCCGAAGCTSTCGGTGGTTCCTTCGCGCGCGCCGTTGTTCGGGTAGTGTGGTTAACTTGCGATCTCTGGGTGTGGTGTGGGCGGGTGCTGTTCGCAGACAATCTCTTGGGCGGGTGAGGCTGGCTGTGTTGGATTGTGCGGTACCTTGCCGTTCGAGATGGCCTACGGAGGGAAGTTCACCAGCAATTCAAACAGCCGGACTTCGCGGCGTCTCGGCAGCTCATTGCACATTCCACGATTGTTCGACGTTCTTTTGGTAGGCTATCCGGCGAGACGGTCCTACGTGCGCCTCCGCCATCGCTCCTTGCGGCTGCTCGTCACACCCGCTACCTGGTTGATCCTACCAGTAGTCATATGCTTGTCTCAAAGACTAAGCCATGCACGTCTAAGGTTGAAGACTTTGGTGGTTTCCTTACCACTCGGATAACCGTGGTAATTCTAGAGCTTATACGTGCAGCATATCCCGACTTCTGGAAGGGATATATTTATTGGATAAAAAGCCGATCCGGGGTTGCCCGTTGTTGAGGCGAATCATGGCGACTTGTCGAATCGCATGGCCTTTGAGCCGGCGATGTTCCATTCAAATTTCTGCCCYATCAACTTTCGATGGTAGGATAGAGGCCTACCATGGTGGTAACGGGTGACGGAGAATTAGGGTTTGATTCCGGAAGGGGAGCCTGAGAGATGGCTACCACATCCAAGGAAGGCAGCAGGCGCGTAAATTACCCTATCCTGACATAGGGAGGTACTGATGATAAATAACAATACTGGGCTCTTTCGAGTCCGGTAATTGGAATGAGAACAGTCGTAAACTCCTTGAACGAGGATCCATTGRAGGGCAAGTCTGGTGCCAGCAGCCGCGGTAATTCCAGCTCCAATAGCGTATATTTAAGTTGTTGCAGTTAAAAAGCTCGTAGTTGGATTTTGGGTGGGAGGGGTTGGTCTGCTCTTGCCGGCGTGTACCGGCCCTTTCGCCTTTCTTGCTGGGTATGCGTTCCTTGCCTTTATTTGCTGGGATCCAGACTATGGTCCTATTTCGCTGCTCTTCGGGATTGGAGTAATGATTAATAGAGATGGTTGGGGACATTCGTATTCCATTGTCAGAGGTGAAATTCTTGGATTTATGGATGACGAACTTCTGCGAAAGCATTTGCCAAGGAAGTTATAATTAATCAAGAACGAAAGTTGGGGGATCGAAGACGATCARATACCGTCCTAGTCTCAACCATAAACGATACCGACTAGGGATTGGTGGATGTCTACTGAATGACTCTGCCAGCACCTTGTGAAAAATCAAAGTTTACGGGTTCCGGGGGGAGTATGGTCGCAAGGCTAATCCAACGAGTCGCTTGCCTGGGTCGAAAGGCCYGGGTAACCTTCTTAAGGTTCATCGTGACGGGGATAGATTGTTGTAATTATCGATCTTGAACGAGGAATGCCTAGTAAGCGCGAGTCATCAGCTCGCGCTGATTACGTCCTG